GGTGGGCAGGTATGAAAGCGGACTATACATGTAAGTAGGTTTGTTGTTATTCTCCTCTGAAGTTTAAATTGTCTAGCTTCAGTTCACAAGGCTTTAAGAAAGCACAGCTTAAGTTTCAGTGATTTCAAATCAGAGAAAAATGGGGAAAAAAGGAAAAGAAAGAAGGAAAAAAAAAAAAAAGAAAACATTTCGGAGACTTGTAGCCAGGAAAAATTTTAGAATTCAGTCAAAACTGTAGCAAATAATAAAAATGGAAAAACATTAGGCAAGACTAGACTCTACTAACAAGTATATTATAGTTTATCTTGAAACATAATTTCTGTCTCTCCAGTCCCCATTTGCACAAAAGACAAATCATGATAGGACTGATTTGTCTGCAAAAATAAGCTTTAGTCTGTTTATTTGTATAAAGTGCAGCAAGTATAACTATTTATCACATAGGCTCTTTTTATAATTGGCTTTTATAGAACTTTGTTTTATAAGGGGTCTCAGATAAGACTTTTTAAAAGCCTTGAGTCCAGCCCTGGGTTTGTGCTGTCAAATACTAATACCAATGTGAGTTTGGGTAAATTTGTCTCCTCTTGAGGTCCCAAGATAACCTGGAGCTCCTGAGCCTGTCAGAAAGTGACATTCTTTACTTACCACAGGTCAGGAACCCTGTACAGGCACTGTGTAGACAGATATGAGCCCAGTTTTACCCAGGGGCTTTTATTGGCTCTATAGTCAACTTTGATTCCTTAAAGGAGTCTGTTTGTATCTGAAAGCATGCCATTCCAGTCAAAGCCTTGATAGAATAACCAGTGTCTCCAACTGTGTCCTGTTACAAAAGAAAACAGATTCTTATTGCACTTAAGCAAATAAATATAGTGCCATAAGAATATTCGCAAATAGTTTCCAAATTTGGAAAAATCAGGTAGAGAGAAATAAAAATTTAGATTATAGCAGTACACTTTACTCGATTGTTTCACTTAGCAATAATTGTGCCTCAGATAAACCTCTCTGTCTACGATATTGCTGCTGCACAATGCTGCAAATAGCTCAAAACAGGGCCTGGAGGGGTGGCTCATGCCTGGAATCCCAGTACTTTGGGAGACTGAGGCAGGCAGATCACTTGAGGCCAGGAGTTTGAGACCAGCCTGGCCAACACAGCAAAACCCCATCTCTAATAAAAATACAAAAATTAGCCAAGTGTGGTGGTACACCTTGTACTCCCAGCTACTTGGGAGGCTGAGGCATGAGAGTTGCTTGAACCTGCTAGGCAGAGGTTGCAGTGAGCCAAGATCATACCACTGCATTCCAGTCTGGGAGACAAAGGCTGTCTCGAAAAAAAAAGTTTTCTTGGCTCTGAAAGACAAAACAAAAGATAAGTAATGTTTTAAGCAAAAAGTCATAAAAAAGTTTTTCAGTCTTCCAATAGTACAGTCCATACACTTAACTCCTGCTCTGTTTGATATTCATGAACACTTCAGCTTTCCGTGGGAGTCCTGGAAGATTTTCCTCTATTCTATTGTCACAGTCTCCATAGTTATCAGAAACTTGCATTCAAGAGCACCTGTCAGAGTCCTACAGCTGAGTATAAAAAAACATCTTTTGAAAAGATAAAAATAAAACAACTGGGCTGGGCGTGGTGGCTCATGCCTGTAATCCTAGCACTTTGGGAGGCCCAAGCGGGTGGATCACCTGAGGTCAGGAGTTTGAGACTAGCCTGGCCAACATGGTGAAACCCCATATCTACTAAAAATATAAAAATTAGCCAGGCGTGGTGCCGGGTGCCTGCAATCCCAGCTACTAAGGAGGCTGAAGCAGGAGAATTGCTTGAACTGGGAGGCAGAGGTTGTGGTGAGCCAAGATTGTGCCATTGCACTCCAGCCTGGGCAACAACAAGAGTGAAACTCTGTCTCAAAAAAAAAAAAAAGAAAGAAAGAAAAAAAAAGTAAAACAACCGTGGATGATAAAGTCTGAGATCAGTCATAGTTAAAGACACAATCAATAAGATAATTTGGTTACTTCTGTGGCACACAACAATTTTACATTATAACCATAGTTGCTTCTTTTTTTTTTTTTGAGATGTAGTTTAGCTCTTGTCACCCAGGCTGGAGTGCAATGGCACAATCGAAGCTCACTGCAACCTCTGCCTCCTGGGTTCAAGCAATTCCCCTGCCTCAGCCTCCCAAGTAGCTGGGATTACAGGTGCCCACCATGACACCCAGGTAATTTTTGTATTTTTAGTAGAGTCGGGGTTTCACCATATTGGCCTGGCTGGTCTCAAACTCCTGACTCCAGTTGATACACCTTCCTTGGCCTCCCAAAGTACTTGGTTATAGGTGTGAGCCGCCGAGCTCAGCCCATAATTACTTCTGATAATATATGCTAAGACATATTAGAATCACAGGAATTTCACACAACTCTGGAACACATAATAACACATTCATATAAATATAATCCAAAGAAGGTTAAACAACATTTCATATTTGACAATACTTCCTGTATGATTTTATTACTTATCTCAAAGAAGTCTAATATATCTCTTCTGGACTTCAGGGGACTGATATAAAAAAATGCAGACTGAAGTTATAATTTGTGATTGGGATGTTTGTCAAATATACGAAGCTTAAAAAACTCGATATTGATGGCAGTGGCTATGCCATCAGGCTGGCTGCAGCAGGGAAGTGTGGCTCGAGCTGCACACACCATGGAGCTGGTGGGAGCCCTGGGAGCCCCGCCTCTTCTGAGTTGGGGTGGGAGTTCCTGGGGTGCCACTGCAGCTGCCCAAACTGCAGCTGCAGACCCAGAGGCTTCTGCTCTTTGAAGCAGGCAGGAGTCCCACCCTCCTGGGCAGGGCCACAGCTGCCCAAACTGCAGCTGTGGATCCCAGCCTCCTTGTGCTCTTTCGGGAGGGCCAGGAGCAAGCAGGATGTGCCTCCTTGGGTGCAGCCGTGGCCACCCTCCTAGGCGCAGGACCTGGACGTCTTTGCAGCCTGCACCCTCAGGAGCCCCAAGACGGACAACCCTGCTGCCCCCATCCCTGCAGGCGCAGGGGTGTCTGCTCCCACTACCTGGCCCCTCTCCACTTCTGACACCTGCTCCTATCTCGGAGCAGGGTTGGGGCTGAGCCCTGGAGCCTTGAATGGCAGTGGGAAGCAAACAGAGTCCTGGATGGAAGGGGAAAGGTCCCCAGTAAGGCCCCATCTTCAGGCCAGAGAAGGCCTGAAGGCTGGGAGCCAGGCTGTCAGTACCATGGGATGGGGAGTGGGGACTCATGTTGCCTCTCCTGGGCCCACCCATGGCTGCCCATGGACCAATTGGCACACACTTCCTCTCCTCTGAGGTCCATAAAAGCCCTGGATTCAGCCAGAGTAGAACAGAGGATGGCCAGAGGACGAAGAGGGCAGAGACAATGGGACGGGATGACCAGCTGCAGAGAGGAGTACCCTCTCTGCTGAGAGCTTCAGGGGTGACCTGCAGCAGAGAGGAGCTATCCTCTCTGCTGAGAGCTTCAGAGACCTGCAGAGATGTCAGAACGACTTGCCTTTGGACAGGCGCCACCCTCTCCAGGGCTTCCTCTCTGTTGAGAGCTGAGCACTTAACAGGATGACCTGCCTACAGAGGGACTGCCCACTCCTCTGAGCTGTTCTAACACTAAGTAAAACTATTCTGAGGCAGGAGAACCACTTGAGCCCAGGAAGCGGAGTTTACAGTGAGCCTAGATCATGCCACTGTACTCCAGGCTAGGTGACAGAGCAAGACTCTGTCTCAAAAAAAAAAAAAAAAAGAATGCCAAACATAAAAAAAAAAAAAAGAAAATTGTCCTTTGAACAGTTTTGAACAATTTCAGGTTGTGTTGTTTTAAGGAGAATTTGATTGTGTCTACGTTAAATTAGTACGAACATTTCTAATGTAAATAAACAACTCTATGCCAAATCACAGTAAAAAGTGGATGAAACGTATCCTCCTTTCTTGTATCTGGCCTTTGCTGTGATGACACATGCCAACTCCATGTGCCAGTTTCTGAGAACCGAACTCTGGTTTGCAGATCTCAGGTCTCAGTATGTGGCAAGAAACCTCAGGGCCTGGCCAGCTTGCAATCAATGCTGGAGTTTGGCCCAGTTGGCCTGCCCTGAATCTTGCAAAACATCCAGTTTAGGTCAGTTGCAGGTTGAGAAGATGCCCCCCCAGGGAGGCGGGGTAAAGGAAAAATCTACGGACACTGGGCCTTCTGATTGCAGAAAGTGAGTAAGGATGGCCTCTGGTGGCCAGACCCCTGGATTGCCTCCTTGTTTATTTATTTTAATTTTATTTACTTATTGATACGGAGTGAGTGTCCCCCAGGCTGGAGAGCAGTGGCACCATCTTGACTCACTGCAACCTCTGCCTCCCGAGTTCAAGCAATTCTGCTTCAGCTTTCTGCCTAGCTGGGATTACAGGCACACAGCACCACGCCCGTCTAATTTTTGTATTTTTAGTAGAGATGGGGGTTTTACCATGTTGGCCAGGCTGGTCTCCAACTTTTGACCTCAGGTGACCCACTCACCTCAGCCTCCCTAAGTGGCTTTCAAAGTGCTGGGATTACAGGCGTGAGCCACCGTCCCTGGCCTCTCCTTTTAAAGACTGGATTTCTAACAGCTTCTCAGGCCTGAAGGGTCTCATTTCAAGAGATTCCTTTGAACGGGCCTGGCCCTCTGGCTGACTGGAGAGTCAGGGAGGCTGGGTGGTAGCCTGTGATGCCCTGAGGCACTTGAGGACTTGGACGGAGGATCCTGCCCTGACAGGGCCGGGCTGCACCATGCTTCCTAGTGTTACAAATGGGTAAACTGGTGGACAGAGGAGAGGCGTTTTCCTGAGATCACACAGCCAATCAGAGCGAGAACTGGGAATCCGAACCTAGATCTCTCCACTCCATGGTTGTGATTCCAAGTAACTTATGTTCTTTAAAATCGACGCCTGTCCTAGGAACGTTCGGACTGGCGAACCATTGAGAGTTCCCGAGAGGCGAATACTCAGTTATCAATAGGTTCCTGCGGGAAAACCTGGCTGCGCCGGCGCACGCGGGTGCTTTAAGGCAACCTGATCACAGCAACCCACTTGTCCTCCGCTTCCCGGATCCTTAAGGCCGTCGCTTCGGGTGGTAAAACCCGGCCCGCCCTCACGTCATCTTGGGAAGTGTAGTTCCAACTTCCTCCGGATATAGGGGCGCGGGCGGCTTGGAACTGCATTTCCCAGAAGGCTGCGCTCGCCGTTAGAGCAGCCTGAAGACTGGCCGGTGGGGTGAACCCCTCATCCTGGTTCTCTTAATTTCTCAGGCGGAATGAGTGGCGGCGGACAGAGGCTTTTGGCGGCGCTGTCTGTGGGTTGCCTGGGTTTACGGATCTGGGCACAGAGACTGTGGTGCCGGTCATATAGCTCTGCCTTCAGTCGTGGGGCAAAAAGCTGAGGCGCTTCTCCTTTAATTGAGGTGGGCGTGGCGTGGCGAAGCGACCCGCGTTGCTATTGGTGGTCGTTGGGGGCGCGGAAACTGAACAGATTGCAACGGCCACCGCTTTAGCCTCCGGTGCCGCCAGCCCCGCCATGGCTGCGCCCTGCGCGGTAAGCCCAGCTGACTGCAGCTTCCCCAGACCTCAGTCTCTCCGTTGGGACACTGGGCGCCTAGTCGCCAGAGCGATGGCTGCGAGGGGCGGGTGAGGTGCCGGGTTCCAGGGTGGTCCTCTTCAGGTCCAGTTTACCGTCTGTGCAGGGGGCGCTGGGTCGGGCACTTTCTGAGCGCTTCCTGCGTGCCAGGCACTGCGTCGGGTTTCTGGAGCGAACAAACAGGTTTCTGCCTCCATAGTTTGCATCCTAGCGTGGGACACACGACCACGTCCTGACTCACTTGTGACCTGGGGCCGGTATCGTGCCTCTCTAGCCTTTCTCCCTGTTCTTAGCAGTGGATGGCTGCATGGGGTCTTGTTGCGGGTACACCCTGCTCCAGCACGTGGATACAGCAGGACACTGGGATGCCCGGGCCTGCAGTGTGAGCCGGGCAGAGCCGCCGTCTCTGAGTCCACACTCCTCCAGAGGTCCTCATTTCGAGAGATTCCTTTGAACGTGCCTGGCCCTCTGGCTGATGGGAGAGTCAGGGAGGCTGGGTGGTGCCCTGAGGTACTTGAGGACTTGGACGGAGGGTTTAGGCTAGGATCCAGACCTTTTGACTCCTAATCTGGTCCTCTACCTCCCTTCATGTCCTCGCATGTATAAACCACTGTTGAGGGAGATGAGGCCCACATGCAGGGAACTACAGAGGGGAGGTGATGTGGAGAGGTATGATGGGACCTACGGGTCGGGGTGAACTTGGACTTGCCTCTTCCCACTGAGCCTAGAGGCAGGCACTCTCTTACCCATGTTCTTTCTAGAAGCTCAGGTGAGAGCAGAAGGCTCTGTTGGGGGCCCTCCCCCAGCTGCTACTCCCTTTGTTGTTGAAAGAAGACTGACAGGTGTGTTAAGGGGTGGAGCTGGGCACAAGGCCGTAGGGCCTTTATTCTAGTTACTGCTTTGTAGGGTGGCAGTGGCTTTGCTGTTCCCTAAGGATATCCTTTCCCAGGAGGAGGCTTTGGGCTCCCTGGAGCACCCAAAACGTTCCCTTGAGATTTCTGATATTTAGAGTAGGGGGAGATGTTTGGATGGCTGAATTATAACCTTTAAGCATTGAGACACAAGCTACTATTGGATGGAGATAGTCTGGAATATTCTTTTTGCTGTTTTTCTAAGCAATGTCCTGAATGGCCTTGCTCTTTCTCTGATGATGGGTAGAGTGGAGGTGGTGGTGATGCCATGAGGACCTGTCCAGGGCTGACCTTTTGGGTTCACTGGCCAGTCTGTGGTGGCATTGAGGTGATAGGATCTGATTCCTGAGATGGGATGGGGGGATGCTGTAAGGTTCCTAATTTCTCTCTCTAGGCTTTTAAAAAATTATTAAGATATTCACATTCCATAGAATTCACCTCTCAAAGTGTACAGTTCAGTAGTTTTTTTTAGTGTATTCACAGTGTTGTGCAACTATAGTCACTAATTCCAGAATATTTTCATCATCCCAGAAAGAAACCCCATGCTCAATGACAGTCATGCTCGCTGCTTCTTCCCTTTCCCTATTTTCTCCCAACCCTTGGCAATCACTAGTATATTAATACTTTCTATCTCTATAGATTTGACTATTCTGAACTTTTCATCTGAATGGAATTAGACAAAATGTGGCCTTTCGTGTTTGATTTCTTTCACTTAGCATGTTTTCAAGGTTCATCCATGTTGCAGCAAGCATCAGCACTCAGTCCTTCTTAATGGCTATATACTATTCTGTAGTATGGATATGCTGCATTTGGTTTATTCATTCGTGTGTTGATTGACATTTGGGTTCATTCACTTGTTGGCTATTATATTTTCTTAATAGCTATTAAGATTTTCTTTGCTGCTCTGAACATTTTTGTACAAGTTCTTGCATAAGCCACGTTTTCAATGCTTTTGAGTATTTACCTACAATTGCTGGGTCATTTGCTAACCATGCTTTACTATATATATATTCATCTATTTATCTTTTGAGACGGAGTCTAACTCCAGCCAGGCTTAAGTGCAGTAGTTCAATCTTGGTTCACTGCAACCTCCTCCTCCCAGGTTCAAGCAGTTCTCCTGCCTCAGCCTCCCAAATAGCTGGGACTACGGGCACCTACTACCATACCTAGCTAATTTTTGTATTTTTAGTAGGGAGGGTGATTTCACCATGTTGGCCAGACTGGTCTTGAACTCCTGACCTCAGGTGATCCTCCTGCCTTTGCTTCCCAAAGTGCTGGGATTACAGGCGTGAGCCGCTGTGCCAGGTTAGCTACTTTTTTTTTTTTAAGAGTCAGAGTCTTGCTCTGTTGTTGAGGCTGGAGTACAGTGGTGTGATCAGAGCTCACCATAACCTTGAATTCCTGTGCTCAAGCAGTCCTCCCATCTCAGCCTCCCAAGTATCTGGGACTACAGACACGAGCCACTCCGCCTGGCTAATTCTTTAATTTTTTTGTAGGGACAGGATTTTGCTGTGTTGCCCAGGTTGGTCTTGAATTCCTGGCTTCAAGTGATCCTCTTGCCTCAGCCTCCCAAAGTGTGGGGATTAACGGTGTGAGCCTTTGTACCTGACCTATCTTTAACTTTTTGAGGAACTGCCAGATTGCTTTCCACAGTGTCTGTTTTTTTTTTTTTTTCCCAAGATCATTTTATTTTATTCTCAGTATCTTGCATTTTCATGTGAATTTTGGGATCAGCTTGACAGTTTCTGCAAAAAAGACACCTGGGATTTTGATAGGAATTATGTGGAATCTGTAGCTCAATCTGAGGAGTATTGTATCTTAATAGTAAGTCTTCCTGTTCATGAACATGGAATGTCTTTCCATTATTTAAGTGTTCTTTCATTTCTCTCAGTGAAGTTTTGTCATTGTCACTGTACAAGTCTTGCACTTCTTTTGTTAAATTATTCCTATTTCGAACGATCCAAGATGGCCGATCGCTAACATCCCGGGATTGCAGCTCTCAGGGAAGGCGCGGAGAACTAGAGGATGCCACACTTTCAGACAAATTCTGGTCGCTCACGGAGCAGAAGATCCCCCAGTGGAGGAAACACACGGGTGACCACCGCGACTCTCGTGGCCGGCGCAGCGGTTCCACTGGCACCTTGGCGTGGCAGCTCTCAGAGCAGAGGAAACAGGTTCGGAGGACCCGCACGGGCCCCCAGCACGACACCAGAGCCCGGCGCAGTGGCTATGACGGCACCTCGGTGCGGCAGCGCTCGGTGCAGAGTAAACAGGACCGGTTTCCTTTCTGACTGAGGTTTGGAGCCCCCGGTAGGTAGAGTCGCCTACTACGGACACAAGAAGGAAGCCAGACAGGAGAATCCTGGGCAGAAAAGCACCATCAGTTTTAACGCTGCTGCTCTGGCCCTGGGAACTAACAACCTGGATGCCCACTCAAGAGACCTCATCTGAAAGTTGGTAATTTCAAAGATGACAGGAGGATAAATTTACAATGACGGGAAGAAACCAGCGTAAAAAAGCTGAGAATACTCAAAGTCAGAACGCCTCTCCCTCTAAAGATGATCACAGTTCCACATCGACAATGGAACAAGGCTGATGGAGAACGAGCGCCTCCTGATGACAGAATCACTCTTCAAGGAATGGATAATAACAAACTTCGGTGAGTTAAAAGAACATGTTGTAGCCCAACGTAAAGAAACTAGGAACTTTGAAAAAAGGTTTGATGAAATCCTATTGAGAATAGACAACTTAGAGAGGAGTATGAGTGAATTAATGGAACTGAAGAATACAATACAGGAACTCCGAGAAGTATGCACAGGTTTAAACACTCGAATTGTTCAAGCAGAAGAAGGGATATCAGAGGTCAAAGTCCAACTTAATGAAATAAAACGTGAAGAAAAGATTAAAGAAAAAAGGATAAAAAGGAATGAGCAAAGTCTCCAAGAAATGTGGGACTATGTGCAAAGACCAAATTTACGTTTGATAGGTGTACCTGAATGCGATGGAGAGAATGAATCCAAGCTGGAAAATACCCTTCAGGATATTATTCAGGAAAATTTTCCCAAACTAGCAAAGCAGGTCAACATTCAACCCCAGGTAATACAGAGAACACCACAAAGATATTCCTCAAGAAGAGCAACCCCAAGGCACATAATCGTTAGATTCACCAGGGTTGAAACGAAGGAGAAAATACTAAGGGCAGCCAGAGAGAAAGGTCAGGTTACCCACAAAGGCAAGCCTATCAGACTTACAGCAGATCTCTCAGCAGAAACTCTACAAGCCAGAAGAGAGTGGGGGCCAATATTCAACATCCTCAAAGAACAGAACCTTCAGCTCAGAATTTCATATCCAGCCAAACTAAGCTTCACAACTGAAGGAAAAATAAAATCTTTTATGAACAAGCAAGAACTCAGAGCTTTTGTTACCATCAGGCCTGCTTTACAAGAGCTTCTGAAAGAAGCATTACACACAGAAAGAAACAACCAGTATTAGCCTTTCTAAAAATACACCAAAAAGTAAAGAGCACCAACATAAAGAAGAATTTACACCAACAAATGGATAAAACAGCCAGTCAACATCAAATGGCAGTAACCCTAAATTTAAATTGACTAAATCCCCCAATCAAAAGACACAGCCAAAACCCAATGGCATGTTACATCCAGACCTGTTTCACATGCAAGGATACACAAAGACTCAAAACAAAGGGATGGAGAAAGATTTACCAACCAAATGGAGAGCAAAAATAAATAATAAATAAAAAGCAGGAGTTGCAATTCTCGTATCGAATAAAATAGATTTTAAAGCAACAAAGATATAGTGGTAAAAGGATCAATGCAACAACAAGAGCTAATGATCCTAACACCCAGATACGAGACTTAGATTCAATGAGGCAGAAAATTAATAAGGATATCAAGGACTCGAACTCAGATCCGGAACAAGTAAACTTAATAAATATTTATAGAGCTCTCCACTTCAAACACACAAAATATACATTCTTGTCAATACCACATCACACCTACCCATAAGTTTAAATGAAACATTGATTGGCCATTATTAATACCCAATTTTTTTCAAAATAAAGCAATATTTCCATTTACTCTCCCTCTTTCTCTTCCTCTTTCTTCTTCTCCTTTACTTATTTTATTTTTTTCTTTTCTTCTCTCAAAAAAAAAGAAATCAACTTGTAAACCTCTAGATCCAGGTCGGCAATGTCTCTCTCATTGCTTGATTTCCTTCCTTCCCTCCCTCCCTCCCTCCCTCCCTCCCCGCTTCCTCCCTTCCTTCCTTCATCCCTTCCTTCCTCCCTACCGTCCTTCTTCCCTCCCTTCCTGCCTTCCTCCCCCCCAAAAAAAAATTATTCCTATTTCATTTTTTATATATCAAATTAAATAGTTCTATTTTTTCTGTTCACTGCTAGTGTACAGAAAGACAATTGATTTTTGTAGCCTGCCACCTTGCTGAACTCATTTGTTCTTTGTTTTTGTTGAAGCTTTTCCACAGTTGATGTATTAATTTGAATAGTTTTTAGTGGATTCCTTAGGATTTTCTTGATATAAGATCATGCCTTGAGCATTTTTAACCCCCCCGCCCCCCGGCTGTGGTAGGAAGAGTGCTGGCCCCGGGGAACCCCCTTCCTCATCCAGGCTTCGCACATTTGACCCTGGCTCTCCCTCAGGAGGACCCCTCGCTGGAAAGGCATTTTAAGGGCCACCGAGATGCAGTTACCTGTGTGGACTTCAGTATCAAAACAAAGCAGCTGGGTAAGAAAAGACATCTTGTCTAGGTGCTAGGTTATGAGCTGAAAAGGCCAGTTTTTGCCTCTGAGGTGTGGTGGGCAGGGAGCAGAGCATAGCAAGGACCACACAGCTCTGTTGAGACCTTCTCGCAGTCCTGTTTGTGGATGCCAGGACTCACTGTTCTCACCCTCTGTGTGCCAGCTCTTTGGGCACTGGGCTTCGTGAGCTCTGTTTTACATGCAGAGCCTGAGGGTCAGAGAGGTTAGGGGACTTGCTGAGGCCACACAGCTCTTGAGGGTGGGACTGGGATCTGGGCCTTTTCCTGCACACCCTAGCCACCTTTTTGGTCTGTCTTTTGAAATGGGCCCTAAAACAGACTCCTTTTCCTTGAAGCTTTATTGATTCTGTTGCCCACAGTAATAAGGCATACCTTCTTGTTGAAGAGCCTTGTCGGTGAGGGCTGGGCACCCCCTCACCCCCACTGCCCTTATGCTGCAGCTGAGTGCCCCCTTTCCTTGATTGCATGAGGTTTTGCACACAACCTTTATGACTGCACTTTCTGGTTCCTGCAGAGGCTTGCCCCTTCATCCTGTCATCAAGGCCCCCTGCCAGAGGCTGCTGGCCTCTGGTGTTTAAAGGTTAAGAGAGAACCGAGGTCATTTTTGGTCAGTTTTGGGGACCTCCATTAGGCTTCATACTGAGTTGGGCCCTCTTAATGGGAGGGGCTGGCTCCCTAGCCAGAGAGGACTTGCTCTCTGGTGCCCTCAGGATGTGTCGATGGGGAGACTCTGGGCCCCATGGGGATGAGTTTTCCCAGATTGCAGTCCAGGGCTGGCATGAGAAGGACCTAGGTCTTGTTCCCATGTGGGTGTGCTCCTTGGAGAACTCTGGGCCACAGGGTCTCCACCTCCAGACCACACCTCGACATGTGCCCTGCCCCATGGGAGACTTCTCATGGTCCTGTTTGTGGATGCTGGGGAAGGTGGAGCTGGGCCAGTTGCTCCTCCGCCTCTCCAACGTTTTGGTGGAGGCTTGAAGCCCGTGATAGCTACGGGTCATAGCATCACCCACTGTCTTCAGCCAGCGGCTCCATGGACTCATGCCTCATGGTCTGGCACATGAAGCCCCAGTCACGCGCCTACCGCTTCACTGGCCACAAGGATGCTGTCACCTGTGTGAACTTCTCTCCTTCGGGACAGCTGCTTGCCTCCGGCTCTCGAGACAAGACTGTTCGCCTCTGGGTACCCAATGTGTGAGTTGCAGATTTTGAGGAGGCTTGTCAAAGTCTGGGGCCCTGGTACCAGAGCCATCCCCGCCCAGGTCCCCTAGCTTGGCTCTGGACTGGTCACAGTGGGACTTCTCTGCTTTGTAAGAGGTGCCATCAGACGCTGGGGCTGCAATTGGAGCCCTCCCCTCAGGGTTGGGAGCGGAGTTCTTGGCTGACTCCATCTATCCCTAAAGAAATGCCATCTGATGCTGTGGTCATGCAGGTGGCCTGGGGGCGGCGCTCTGCTCCTGTAGGAGAAGCTCTAGCCTTCCCTTGTGGAGCTTGTGGTACTCCGGCTTGGCTGACTTTGGGATGGCGCTTGAGGAGTAGGGAGAGCTTTGATGTGCTCGTGCGCTTTCATGTCACTGTGTGGGTTTCTCACTCTTGGCTGCCTGTCCTTGTAGCAAAGGTGAGTCAACCTCGTTTCGTGCACACACAGCCACCGTGAGGAGTGTCCACTTCTGCAGTGATGGCCAGTCCTTCGTGACAGCCTCTGATGACAAGACAGTCAAAGTGTGGTCAACTCATCGCCAGAAATTCCTGTTCTCCCTGAGCCAGCACATCAACTGGGTCCGCTGTGCCAAGTGAGCATTGTCCTGTCTGAAGATCCTTGGAGGAACCCTGGGGGTTAGGGGCTGGCACAGGAACTGCTAGGTACCAACTTGTGATCCTGGGCAAGTTACTTAGGCATTGTTTAAGCTCCTCAGCCTTGGTTTCCTTATCTGCAAAATGGGAACTATAGTAGCTCCTGCACTGTAGGTTGTTGAGAAGCTTCACAGAGCTGATGCATCACACGTCAGTTAGTCCATAATCAGCCATGATGACCGTCTGACATCAGTGTTGCAAACACAAACTGGGTCCACAGCGGCCATTTATTATCAAAAACAGCAATTAGGTACTTTCAGTACTACCACTGTACATTTTCTTTTTGTTTCTTAAGACAGTTCTGCAAGCTAGGTGGCATCATTTCCATTTTGCAGTTGAGGAAATGGGGGCTCAGAACAGTAGTGTCTTGTCTCGGGGCACACGGTGGGTCTGTGGCAGAGCTGGAGTGTGAACCCAGCTTTTTGACAGTAAGGCTTGCCTACTTTCCTCTGGGGTGTTTTCAGAGGATGATTTTGCTCCAGAGCTTCCAGATTGGGGCCCAGGTTTCTGAGGTGGGGGGCTTAGCCTGGAGGCTGACTTTCCCTCTAGCTGGGGAGCCAGTGCTGTGCAGATGGGGGCCAGGTGACCCAAAGGACCTTTGAAGGTCCAAGAATTGCAGACAGATATTCCTACTTCTAGCTTATTTGGTTTTTTTCAACAGAACTTCCTCGTGGGTCATATATCTTTGCTTCAGAGGAAGGGGTTGGGGTGCCAGGGGACACTAGGAAACCAGGAGTCAGAAGTTGGGGACTACTGAGATGTGTTCTTCTGAGGACCCCATACAACTTACTGTTCTCCAGGACACCCCCATTCCTTTGTCCTGGGAGACCCCTGATGGTTCTTAGAGGCTTTATTACTAGGGTCCTGAGATCAGGAGGGGCCAGGCCAGCAAACTGGGGTATCAAGTCCATATTGGGCCTTTGGTGGCAGTCCCCAGGACCTCATGCCTTTTGTTGGCAGGTTGTGTCTTGCTGACCCGCACATGAGTCAAATGTAGACTCAGAGGACCTGGGCCCAGAGTCATGACACTGATGGTGAGCTTTTGGCCACCTTCCTGCAAACGTTGTTGGCAGGCAGTGCTGGCTGCATGTTGCCATGTGCTGTGTGCCACGGCCGTGCTGGGGCTTGATGTGCATGAGGCTGCTCTGTGCTCACCATGAGTCAGGCACTGTTTTTTTTTCTTTTCTTTTTGTTTATTTAGTTTGGTTTTCCTCTAGGTCAAAAAGAACTCTTTCTTCCTTTTGGTCAGAGTTAGCTGTTGGGATGGGTGGGGGGCTGTTTGTACATGAAGTTAAGTAAGAAAACAAAAACAAGAGCAACAGGAAGGGTCAATAAGTTTCATAAATTCAGGAAGAAAAAAATACAAGAAACATTTTTATAACATTTACAATTAAGTCATAGGCTGAGCTTAAGGGCTCATACCTGTAATCCTAGCACTTTGGGCGGATGAGTGGGAGGATCCTTTAAGTCCTGGATTTAGAGACCAGCCTGGGCAACATAGTGAGCCCCATCTCTAAAAAAATAAAATAAAATAAAATTAGCTGGGCGAGGTGGTGCACACCTGTAGTCCCAGCTACTGGGGAGGCTGAAGTGGTAGGATAACTTGAGCCCAGGCGGTTGAGGCTGCAGTGAGCTGAGATCACACGACTGCACTCTAGCCTGGACGACAGAGCAATACCCTGTCTAAAAAACAAAACACAACCAAAACCAAAATGTAGTCACAGGTTCCTGAAAAACTCTTTAGAAGGAAAAAAGAAGAATCATCAAGTGCTGTAAGTTACGATTTTCAGTAACAAAGTATAATTTTAAGATAGGACCAGATAAACAGAAGTAATGTTGCCTCCTAGGATGCAATGCATTTGTTCCTGAAAAGACATATTAGGGTACTCCAACAAAAAAAAAAATCACAGGCCAGGTGTGGTGGCTTGCGCCTGTAATCCCAGCATTTTGGGAGGCTGAGGTGGGCAGATCACGAAGTCAAGAGATCAAGACCATCCTGGTCAACATGGTGCAACCCCATCTCTATTAAAAATACAAAAACTAGCTGGGCGTGGTGGCTCGTGCCTGTAGTCACAGCTACTTGGGAGGCTGAGGCAGGAGAATTGCTTGAGCCCAGGAGGGAGAAGTTGCAGTGAGCCAAGATTGCGCCACTGCACTCCAGCCTGGTGACAGAGCGAGACTCCATCTCAAAACAAGCAAACAAACAAAAAATCACAGCAGGGCATGTAACCCCAGTTGGTTCTCGGAGGCAGATAGTAGGCACTTGGGGAAGAGTGGCTGTGGAAGAAGGTGTTGGTGCCCATGTCATCTGTTAGTCTGTGGTGTGACTTGTGTCCCACCCGGTTCAGGTTCTCCCCTGATGGGCGGCTCATTGTGTCTGCCAGTGATGACAAGACTGTCAAACTCTGGGACAAGAGCAGCCGGGAGTGCGTCCACTCGTACTGTGAGCATGGCAGGTGAGTCCCCGGATGTTGTCCTTCACCTTGTAGACACTCAAGCACAGAGCACAGACCTGGGCTTGAGGCCAGTGGCCTTCAGTGGCTGGAGCCATAGGACTAGCGTCTTGTCACTGCTGCCCCTTGTCTGGTGCTTTTTTTGAGGTCTAGCAACCTAGCTCTGTATCTTTTCCTGTGTGGGTAGAAGCTTTAGCCCCATCCCACAAATAACAGGAGTGCTTAACCTCAAGCCTTGCAATTCTTTGGAGCTGTGTAATTCTTTGGGCTCCTCCTTTTCACCTTCACTTTCTGGTTTTTAGTATTATAACATGTCTTTCTGTGAGCAGTTGACACTCAGTCACCCAAGCTACATTTTAAAGCCTCTTGGTATGTTACCCATGGTGATGGCTTTACAAACTTCTCATTGTGTTCTTGTAGCAGATGGTGGCTGTTTATATTGTGCCGCATCATCAGGAGAGAGAGGAGCCCACATTTGAATAGGGACTCCAGCTTCTGCCCTCCTTTGGGCCTGGAGCCACAAGGGCTTCTCTTTGACAGCTGGACATGGTACCAGCCTGGGTATCACATATGGGTGTAGTGAGGGTCCTTGGCCTGTCTCCTAGAGAGAGGTGGGCCAGTGGCCCTATAGCCCTGATACCTTCTCACCTGTGCGTCAGCTGGGAGGATCTGCTCTGCAGCCACGCCTGGCAAGGGTACCAGCTCCAACTTCGAAAATCCAGGACAGCCCGGCTGACTTTTGGGTTTGAAGATAGCTTTCTTACCTTGTATTTAAAGTTGGTGGTGGGATGTGCTCCCTGATCAGTCCACCTTAGTTTGTTGCTGGCCACTGTTCTCACCTTCTACTTCTTGCTCTCCCTTGGCCATCTGGTAAACAAATGTGACAGAAAGGAGGTATCTGGGTCTAGGGAACAGCATGGGCAGGACACAGGGATGGGAAAGGACTCAATGTTTTTGGGTCCATCCTGAACCAGGAAAGGCCTCCTATAGTGCCTGGTGGCCACTGTCTTTCCAGCTTTGTCACCTACGTGGACTTCCACCCCAGTGGTACGTGCATTGCTGCTGCTGGCATGGACAACACAGTGAAGGTGTGGGACGTGCGGACTCACCGGCTGCTGCAACATTATCAGTGTAAGTGATGAACAGCGTCCTGGGCCCTAGGGCAGCCCTGGTGGGACTGTGCTGGTGCTGGTTCTGTGCTGTGGTGCTAAATGGGCCTGAGATGGCCTTGGGCGGGAAGGTGTCCTGGGTCTGTTGGGATTCTAGTGGTGGGAGTCTGTGGCATGGCTGTCCTGGCCTGGAACCTTGGGCAGGAGATGGAGCTTGGTGCTACCTGGCTTCCACTGAATCCTTCAATGCCCACCTCCAATGTGGCAGAGTCTCACGCACACTGCAGGGCCAGATGAGGAGTCCACTGGGGCTCTGGCCAGGGCTTCCCTTGAGGACCACTTCTCAGGGGCATACCTCTTACCTTTCTTGGTGATGGAGGCTCTGCCCTCCAGGGCCAAGGTGACAGCCCGTGACCTATGGTAAAGGGAACAGGGCTGTCAGTAGAGGGAGCATTGGTGGGACTGTGGCCACCTCTGGTCTTACAGTGTCCTCCACAGATATGGAGCTGTGAGCCATAGGGAGGGTTGACTTAGCTAGAGGTCAGGCCCAGTATGGTAGCCCTTGAAAGGCAGGGTGGTGGGCAGTAAACATGGGCTCGTGTCAGGCTCAGGTGGGAGTTGGCCTTGGGTGGGAAGGTGTCCTGGGAGTTGGAGGGCGAGGGCAGACTTAGACGTGCCCAGGATGAGCTTACTGAGAGTGTCGGGGTAGGGAACTGGCCTGATAGCAAGTATGAGTGGGCAGGGCCATGAGGCACCCCAGTTCCGGGGTTGGGCTCAGGGAAGGGAGCTGGTGAGGAGTCACTGGAGAAATTGGGAATTGTGCAGCTGGCAAAACAGAGATGAGTGAGACTGGACCAGGGCTGAGACGAGGAAGGAGGCAGTGCTGGAGTTGTTTGAGGAACCGTGATTATTGACCTGGGACTAAGTGTAAACTTCCTAGGCTTGCTTCCATAGCCACACCTGAAATGGGAAGGACATGGCTGGACACAGCTGTGGGACTCCGAAACTCCCACACCCTTCTTAGCTGACTCTTGGTGTTCGAGGACTGCACTTTCTTGGGGGTAACCGAGGTGAGCAGACCTTCCCAGAATGGGAAGATCCTAGTCTTGAAAAGCACATGATGGCGAATGGGCTCTGCAGCCAGTTTTTAAAACATTCTTGGCTGTGTGATGTTGGGCAGGTCATTTGACTCCACGGGGCCCCTGGGACAGTGATGGGGCCTATTTCAGAGGAGGTGTTGGGAGGGTTAATGAGTTGTCTGATATTAAGAATTGAAAGGGTGGCTGGCACAAAAAGCGGGAAAGGAGGTTCAGTGTTAGTGATGATGACAATGACAATGTCTCTCAGTCCTGTCTGGTCTGGTGAGGCCAACCTGGTTGGTTAAGGCCTGTAGTACCCTACACCACCACCAGGTGGCAGGGGCCAGCCACAAAGAACATTCCCCCCCTCCCTCCACATAGGAAGCCCTGGGGTTTGTCACTAACGCTCTTTCAGACAGAGGCTTCTGGAACAGAAGAGCAGTGGGGCTTGCCTCCACTTGGAGCCCATACCTTTCCCATCCCTCCTTCAGCCTTCTGCTCTGGGCCAGGCCTGAGTGAAGGGCACATGTACACAGCTGACAAGGGAACGTGGGCAGGTGCAGAGGAGGGAGGACTTGGACAGGGAGAGATTAGAGGGGAAGGCATCGAGGCAGGACAGTGGTCAGGAGCACATGCTCTGCTTCCTTTCTGTAAAGGGGGTGGCAATAGGCCTTCCTCATGGCTTTGTGAGGCTCTGGTGGGAAAAGCCACTTAAGGACTATAACACAGGGCTGGGTATGTGGTTTGTGCTATGTACCTCCTGACCCTGGGAGGAGAGGATCTCTAGGTGACCCTGGGAGGGTCCAAGCCCATCTCTGATGGATCAGGAGCCTGGGCCTGGTGTTCACGGGTATAGCAGCAGGTACCCCTTGGGAAGGGCCTCAGATGCCATCTCTGGCTCAGGGTCCCAAAGATGTGGCCTGATAGGCAGTGCTAGGACTGGCCTCATCATTTAAGGTGTGAAGGGAGGAAGGACATCTGAGAGGGCAGCAGTGTCCAGAGCCTGCTGGGGTTGGGGGCTGGTATGCCCCAGTGACGGGTTAGTGGACCAGCTGTGCCTAGTGTCAAAGTGGGGTCTGGCATCAGAGTGGGGAATGGGTTGCAGAGATTGAGTAGAAGCAAAGAAGCTGATCCTGTGGAGGTGGAGGGGGCAGTTGGCCCCAGGGATCTGGTATGTGAGAATGGCTGAGGCCACATTCTGAGTCCCTATAACTGAGGGGCCACAGAAGATAAAGGTCCACAAAGTAAGCCAGAGGGAGGAGTATGAGCCCCATCTTCCAGCATGGGAGAGCTGAGGAGGGCAGAGGCTGGGGCGAAGGAGAGGGGAGTCTTGTGAAGAGGGTGGTCAGGAGGTAGAGTGATGCAGAGCAGTCAAGGAGACTGGTGGGTGCTGAGGGGAGGGACCTGGGGTCCTCGAGGGAGCAGGCTTGGCGGTGGGTGGGGGTGGAGCTCGATGACGGCAGGGTGGGGAGGTGTGGGTGGACTCAGATGAGCCCTGGGGGCCAAGTCCTGAGTGGAGCTGAGTGTGTGGGCTGACAGGCCCCACTGGGAGATTGCAGTCTGCTTGTGCTTCTGGCCTTGCCTCTTATGACAGCCTCTGAGTAGGCCTGCAGTGTCTCATCCCTAAGCCACCCCTAGTGTAGATAGGAGGCTTAGTGGGATTTGGAGTGCCCCATAAACACAGCCGGTTCCCCCTGAACTCTCTGTTCAATGCCATGGCTAGTGGTAGCTGTTCATGGGATAGTGGACTCATCCTATAGCCTCTAGGCTGACCCTCAGGCACAGTGAGCCAGGTTGATCTGAGCTCACCCGATAGGGGGAACATACCTCTCATCCTCTGCTGACAGGAGGACCTGGCCAGGTCTGCTCAGGTCTAGGGGCTCCCCAGAAAACCTCTAGCTGAAACTAGTGGGGAACGCTGTACCCAAGTGACTCCCCCACCCCCATAAGTACAGTGGGATCTCTTTGGAGGCTCATTCCCCAGGAAGGGCTCCTAGTACTCTGGCAACAGATGCCCGATCTGCTTTCTTTCCCTGATCTCTAGGAAACCCAAGGGAAACCTAAGGATACAATGACATCCTGTGTCTCCCATAGTGACTCTGGATGGGCACCAGGCACTTCCAGAGTGGCCTTCTGATGTCAGAGGCTGATGGTCTCTTGTGAGAGGATTTGGTTAATGTTATTGCAGTGTGTGGCTAGCAAGCCCCAACCTGCCTGCATCCAGCCGTTTATATTGTGCTCTATGGAGGGCACTTCCTGTTCTGGCTAGAGTTGTTGGAGTTGATGCCTGCTTGGGGCTTTGGGCTACTGGAGGCAGCTGGAGCCATTTTTCTTGTGCTGGCTGACTCTCCTCCCAGGCAAGGAGTTTCTTGGCTCTGGCCTATCACTGCAGGGAGCAGTTCTGATTTCCCAGTTCAGCAAGGAGTTGATAGGCTTGTGGAGCCCCGGGAGTGCCAATCCCCATGCGGTGGGTTAGCTCCATATGCTCTAAGCCCACGTTAAGACTGTTCAGGCATCTGAGCAGCAGCCCCCGTCCCAGAACCTGTAATGTGCTTCATGGCTTACAGCACGTGCAGGTCCGTTATCCAGTGACAGGCCTCGGTGGCCAGCAAGGTAGGGTTACTCTCCATTTCACAAATGTGGAGTGTGCAGCCCACGGTCACACAGCTGGAAAGCTGTGGGTCTGAGTCTCCACCTGAGGGCCTTTGAGCGTGGCATTCTGTCAACCGTCTCATGCTGGGTTCCTTGCACTTTGATGACTAGTCGTTTACTTCCCAGGCTCCCTGGGAGAGGTGGTCTCTTTGGCTGGCTGTCAGCAGGGCTTAGAACTCAGAGTCCCAGGCTCTCTGTCCATTAGTCCTTAGTGTACTCCTGCACCCCCGCCTGGCCTCATACATGGTCATGGAGGGTTTTGTCTTTCTTTTCCTTTCAGAGGCGGGATTGGGATCTCACTATATTGCCCAGGCTGGTCTTAAACTCCTGAGCTCAAGCAGTCCTCTCACCTCAGCCTCCCAAAGTGCTAGGATTATAGGCATGAGCCAGCATGCCTAGCTGGAGGGTTTTAAGTAGTTGCAGCTAGCAGGGCAGACCTGCACCCTGTACTTAGTGTTTTGAGACTAAAAGAGTTGATTGGGGTGCAGTGGTACTGTCTCACCTGATCTAGCCAACCTACTTTTCCTCCATCTTGAAGGGAGCATTTACACAGCATTGCGAAGAGGAGTATTTTGGGTATCCTTTGCTGCTGGTATCAGAGCACCTTTGTGGTATGAATCCAAAGCCTCTTGTTAACCCAGAGCCACCATGTCACTGGTAATACCAGTTATGCATTACAAGAGTCCACCCTGGAGAAAGTGAGTCGTCCTTTTGTGGAAGGATGTTGGGGTGGGGCTTGGCCCTGGCATGGTCTCCTCCAAAGAGGTACCTCCTGCTTGGGCACCCAGGCTTTCTCTGGGCCCTCGGCTGGTTTGGAGCCTGTTAGGTAGTGGGCCTAGGTTTGCCCAGGCCTTTACATGCAGAGGGTGTGGAGGGTAGGTATGTGAGTCTCTGCTTAGGCCACCTGCTGCCCACAAGCCATGACTCCTGGTGTTTGGGAGCAGGGTCTGTGGTGGCTTCATCCCTGGGCCCCTGATGATTTGCAGAAGTTTGATGTTGGTGTATCTCTGACCTGGAGTCAGAGTACTCTCTTTGAGATAGACATGGGGGGATAAGAGCCATGAGCTCACAGCTGCCACCTAGGTGGCAGCGTGTTTCATCACTTACATCTGCCATGGAGCCAAGAAGAGGCCTGTGGCTTTGGACATGACAAAAAGTGGATCATTCTCAGACAGTTGGCACTCAAGGCATCATGACAGAAGGCTCATGCCCTCATGGAGCCTTCATAGTAGACTCTCATGCAGGGATGGTTCTTATGATGAGGCCTCCCTAGACTACCCGCTCTCTACCACCTCCACAGAGGCAGGAGTGAGAATGGAGGCTGGTGTGGCCAGTGGATGAGGCAGAGAGCAAGTGGGGAAAGGCGGGGTGGGTCCTGGTGTCTGGGACATCCCCCAAAGCCTGGCGTGCCAGGCCAGCCCCTCTTCTGGAGTAAATGGCTCTAGGTGTTTCCACCCAGCCTTGGGTATTCCTGGCATTTATGTGGAGTGGGGCTTCTGATACCCTTTCTCTGGGAGAGATTCTTTCTTGGATGGGCTTGACCAGGTGGAGGGCCCTGGTGTGGCCATCCACACACTGACCCTACCACCCTGGTGGTGCTGGGAAGCCCTGAACTCGCTGAGTGTGGCCTCCCTTCTGCACCCTCCTGCCACCGGCTGCTCCTCTGCCAGCTTCTGCTCATGGAGGGGTGGGGTGGCCTTCATCCCAGTGCAGACTTCGCTGGTGGTGGGGGGGGGGGCTCTGATTTCTGCCTCTAAGAGCTGGCTTCAGAGACCCCACTGGTCCCTCTCCAGGCTGCCTCCTAGAGTTCCTGGCACTTGGAGGGTGTTGTTCAGATATAAATATCATGTTACGTAAAACCTTGGCTGTCTCCCCTTAAGTGTGCTTGGGAACATGTATTCAGACTCCCCAGCACATCAGCACATCAGCTGGGTTGGCATCTGAGGGGCTGCGTGCACCCCGTGGGCTTTGTTGAGGCCCGTTTCACAGTGGGTGTGTTTACCAGCCCAGCAGTGGTTCTTGCAGCTTCCCAGTGCTAAGATGACGGCTGCTTTTGAGTTTGCCTTTATGTTGGTGGCAATTCTGACTTGGCAGGGTTGCGATTATTTTAGCCCCACTGGTTTTCCTCATCGGGCTTGTGGTAATGGGGAGGAAGACACTGGGGTTTTCCTCAGAAGTCACCCTACGAGGCTGTGATACAGCTGATGCATGCATTGGCTGTGGAGTTGCTCTAGACTGCCCAGGTCTGCCGCCGGCTTCAACTGGAACATGCTATTGGCCTTGAGGGAGGGCTATATAACCTGCTGGGGCTTCTGTATGCTTAGTTTAAGCACTTGCTCACCAACCAGTTTCTGAGTCCTGCTTGGTGCCAGGCACTGAGCTGGGAGCCAGGGACTCAGCACCACCCCAGCTGGAGTTCATGGTCTCATGGGAGATCCAGACGTGAGTCAGATAGTTTCATGTAAACATGAAGATTGAACTGATAGAAGCTCGTGGTGCTTTGGAAAGACAAATGAAGGGGTGGCCCTAATTGGGAGGCCAGGGGAGGCTTCCTGGAGGAGGTGGCTTCCAGTACTGAGCTTTAAGGTCAGGGAAAGGGGAGGGCAAAGTCTCCCAGGCCCATTGGAAACAAGGGGTAAAAAAAGCTCTGCGGCTGGGGAAATTGACAGAGCTGGTGGGGTGGCCGGATCTTGGAGAGTGAGGGACACCAGAAAAGATGACGGGGTTAGGCTGGGATGACAGGGAAAAGAGAGTCATGGACAGGGCCAAGCTGTTGAGTGGGTGAAATGGCAAGACCTGGAGTTGCATGGGATGCAGGGACAAAGGAGAGGAACATCTGTGTTGGCATCGGATGGCTCACTCTGCAAAGGCCTCATGTGCTTAACTTAGTAGCATCCCCACAGCACCCGCACAGATGGAGGAACTGAGGCTCAATATGGTCAAGATGCTTGCTCAGGCTGGACGTGGTAGCTCATGACTACAATTCCAGTGCTTTGGGAGGCTCCGGCAGGTGGATCACATGAGGTCAGGTGTTTGAGACCAGCCTGGCCAACACAGTGAAAACCCGTCTCTATTGAAAATACAAAAGTTAGCCAGACGCGGTGGCACACCTGTAGTCCCAGCTACTCAGGAGGCTGAGGCAAGAGAATCTCTTGAACCCATGAGATGGAGGCTTCAGTGAGCTGAGATTGTGCCACTGCACTCTGCCTGGCGACAGAGTATGACTCCATCTCTTAAAAAAAAAAATGCTTGCTCAAGGCCATGGTGTGAGCTGGCAGGAGGCTGGGGGTCTGAACGTGGGCCTGACTGGTTCCTAAGAGTGTCTGAGCTTTCTGCTCGTCTGCCCCCATGCACATCCTCCCTGTATGGCAGTGGCATTGTATCGACATTTCAGGGGTTTTATTTGGACAGACCAAAGGCTATGTTTATATGTTTGAGTGCTCTATTTTGCACCAGCTGGACCACTTGGTGCCATGGGAGAGGATGGAGGAATTGTCTGCTGTCTCTGCATTTTGCATCTGTTTCCATCTGTCTGTCTTCCACTGCCTGCCTGTGGCTTTGAATGGGCCTTTTCCTGTCCTTTGATTTCCTGTCCCTCTCCTGGGAAATCCCTGCTGGGTTCCCCACAGCTCTTCTGAGCAATGACCATCCTGGCCCAGCCCCATCAGGCCTGTGCCGAGCCTTGATTAGCCCTGATTGCCAATCCTGGGCTTCAGCTGTGCTCCCTGTGCCTCCTAGCCAGCACCTGACTAATGTCCTTCCCCCAGTGCACAGCGCAGCTGTGAACGCGCTCTCTTTCCACCCATCGGGAAGCTACCTGATCACAGCCTCTAGTGACTCAACCCTGAAGATCCTGGACCTGATGGAGGGCCGGCTGCTCTACACACTACACGGGCATCAGGTGAGAGGTGTTGGCCAGGTTCTGAGTGGTATGGAGTGGTGGTACTCTCACAGTCTGGACAGTGGGTGAGATGCAGAAACAAACTTGTCACCCACACAGCCTGCAGGGAGAGTGACGGAGGCCTTTCCCTGTGACCTGGACAGCTTGCTGGGCCTGGGACTGGTGCAGCTGAGAAGGGTATGTGGGAGTTGAATTGGGGGGTTGGGGGCTCCATCTGGGCGTGGTTGGCAAGCTGCCCCCTAGGGGCCTAAATGGAATCTGTCCCCTAATGGCCTCAGCCATCCCTGGGTCCAGAGGTTGAGTTGAGCCTTGGAACCCATGCTCTGAGTTGACATCAGGGTCTCCTGGAGGTCCTCGGACTAGCAGACATCGATGTGTCTAGAGACCAAGGCAACTTCAGGTGTCTTGCAGGGGCTGGGCCGAGAAGGGAAATCCCCTTCATGTTTGTTGTTTGAGAATTCCTGGAATGGAATCAAGGAAGCAGAGGCCTCCTTTCTGAATGAGCTTCAAAGAAGCCGGTGCCCTGGTCTTCCTGGGTGGGGAGTGGCCAGTGTGTGGGCCCCTGGGGTTTGGCTCTGGGGAGTAGGCTGTATGCAGCTCTCCCCAGCAGCTGGCCTGGGTCCAGGCCTTTCACACCTAGTATTCCCACTAGGAAGTAGCGTCTGAGCCCTCCTGACCAGAACAGTCATCAGAATGTCTCCTGCCCACTTGGGATGGGAGGTCTGAAGTCCAGCAATTTCAAGTTGTCCCTCCTCTGCCTGCCAGGCTGAGGGAGGCTCTGGGGGTGCTTATGTGTCTTGCACCGTCAGCTAGGTGTGAGATGTCTAGCCTGGCGCTTTCTGAGCTGTTGTTCGTGTTTCCACTGCCATCTGAGTTAGGGGACCTGGGGGCCATTTGGCCATGGTTAGGGGATAGGGACATAGGTCTAGAGGCTGCTTGCTTCCCCCAGCCTTGTTGTGACCCCTTGCCTTCCCTGTCAGGGACATATCCAGTGCACAGGACCAGTGAGCCTGTTCTCCCTGGGCTGACACATCCAGTGTGGGTGGCTCCTGGGCCTGGTGTAAGCCTATTCAGGAGCCGCCTTTGCTAGCCTTTGGTAAGCCAATTATTCAGATTCATGTGTAACCGTTTGGGACCTTATGCCCACAAGGGCATTTGAAAATCATGTGAATGCTGCTACCCCTCCTGCTTCCCTCAACAACAACAACAACAACAACAACAACAACTCAGAAACAGTTTGAAACAGATGCATATCAAGTGATCACCTCTTTTTGTGAGTGTTCTTTAAACAGCGAACTTACCACTTAGGCTGAGAACACTTGAATGTGGGATCTAAATTGTCATTCTTGGTGTTCTGGCATTGCATCCAGCACATAGATGAAAGCTGTTGACATTGTTCTCTCTGGGAAGTGAAGCAAGGACCATGGCGCATCCCCTCGTGTGGTCGCTTGTCTGCTGTTAGACCTAGAGATACGGGAACCAGGCCGAGGGACAGCTGGTGGTCTAGGGTGTGGATATGGCAGGGTCGTTTCTTCTTCAGGGCACCAGGCTCACAATGCCCAGAGGAAAGGAGAAGAGAAATGAACCGATCTCTCTTCCTTACTCATGATGTGGAGGCAGCAGCATGATTGAAGAGCCAGGCTGAGGGCTGAGGTAGGGGTATGAGTGTGTGAGCACATATGGGGCAGGACTGCCCAAGAGAAGGCCTTATTTAGTTCCAGCAAAGAAGAGCTCACCTCCATGCCCCAGCCTGGCACCCCTGGGACCCAGGTCTGCCAGGGTTTGCTGTGGCTCTTTGTCATGCTTAGCTCTGCCCCTGGGTTTGGAGTGATTCAGAGTCAGCTAATGGAGCAGGCGCAGTAGCTCATGTCTGTCATCCTAGCACTTTGGGAGGCTGAGGTGGGAGGATTATTTGAGCCTGGGAGGTTGGGGCTGCAGTGATCCGTGATTGTGCCACTGTACTCCAGGCTGGGTGACAAAGCAAGACAATGTCTCAACAGAAACCCCCGCAATAAAGAGAGTCAGCTAATGTTGCTTTCCTAAGGGAGCACAGTCCAGTTGAGCAGCCTTAATATGGGCATTTGGTTAAGATACGGGGTGCACTGTCTGGAAGGAATACCTAGTGCTTGTGGAGATCTGTGGCTCCTTTGCTCCAACCAGGGGAGAAATCTGCAGGGACTGGGCCTGTGTTGTCGCCCAACTAGTTCCTAGGATGTTCATGACCCATGAGGGCCTGGCTGGGGGTGGAGGGCACATCACAGGGGCCTGCTGACAAAGGGGCCGGGTTCTGCCTGTGCACTCTGCAGCAGGTGTATCATCCTCATAGGCTCCCACTTACCCAGACCTTCCAGTAAGATGTGCAGCTGGTTCTTTGGTGACTTCATCTTTCACATTCTGTTCTGGGAAGTGGCGATGTGATGGGGTCCTGTTGGCCAACGGCCTTATGGAGTGCAGCTGCTATCAGCCACTTCCTGAATTGTGTGGCTGAGCAGCCCAGGGCTCCTGAGTAGGTCTTGGGTGCCTGGGGCTCCTGTCCTATGGATAAGGAGGATGGCAGGTTAGAAAGCATTTTTTTTTTCAGTCCAGATGGGGAAACTGAGAGCTGTCTGGATTTGTAAGGGTCTTATGACTCCTAGGGTGCCAGAGCTGGGACAAGTACTTGTGTCTGTGCAGTTTCTAACACATGTACATATGACTTTTAAAATTCCATTTGTGTGATTTCACTCTTATTTTATTTTGATTTATATATTTATTTTTGAGACAAAGTCTCATTTTGTTGCCCAGGCTAGAGTACAGTGGTGCGATCTCAACTGACTGCAACCTCCGCCTCCTGGGTTCAAGCAATTCTCCTGCCTCAGCCTCTCAAGTCATTGGGATTACAAGCATTTGCTACCATGCCTGGCTAATTTTTGCATTTTTAGTAGAGATGGGTTTCGCCATGTTGGCTAGGCTGGTCTCAAATTCCTGACCACAGGTGATCCACCTGCCTTGGCCTCCCAAAGTGCTGGGATTACAGGCATGAGCCACTGCATCCGGCCTTCTTGTTTTTATTTACTTATTTTTACTGGGGTAACATATATGTATATAATTCACCATGTTTACCATTTTTAAGTATACAGTTCAGTGGTAATAAATGCATTTATATTCTTTTCTTTTTACTCCTTCATTCCCTGGCTCCCTTTCCCCATCCTAGCCCTGGTAACCACCAGTCTACTCTGTCTTTATGAGATCCATGTAACTCCCACAGATGTCACTTTTGTGTTTTGCTCACAGGTCTGTGTAAGGTACCAGCAGGCTTATGGTGGCTTGTGTCCCCATCTTGCTGCTACATTACCCCATTCTGATCCAGCAGGAAGCAACCCCATGAAACTTTGTTTTGGACGCAGAGGACCTGCCGTGTCCTCAGAGTTGCCTAGGAAGAGCTGTGGGAGAGAGGGCCACTGAGTCTTAGGGCCGGTGGTGCAGCAACTCCCTTGTGCTTCCATTTCCGCATCTGAGAAGTGGACGGTGCAGGCTGGGGGTGAGCAGCAGTGAGGTCAGCCGCAGGGAGCTGCTGTGGGGATGAGGCGGACCTTGACCAGGGGATGGGTTCTCCACAGGTGCCAGGAGAAGGGCCCTAGCAAGCCCTCTGGGGGAACTGTGGGGAGGTTCATGGTAGAGAAAGGAGGGTCAGGGCACAGTACTGTTGGGCTGCAACCATCTTGTCTGAGTTGAGACCAGACTCACCCTGATGTACCTTTCAGTTGTCTCTTAAGGTACAGGAGCGCCAGGACAGGAAATTGCCAAGTGCCAGCTGAGATGAGGATCATCCAGGGCAGCACTGGGTCTCCTGGGCTAGACATGTGTGCTGGTGTTGAGGGCAGCTCCTTAGCCAGGAGTCAGCGTGTGGGTGGCTTGGTGGTTCTCTGGCACATGAGTGGCGCACATCGGCCCATTTGAGGGGCCTTTTGTTTGGGCAGGCTCACTTTGTGAGACTAGGGGGTTATCTTAGTCTGTTTTGTGCTGTTGTAATAAAATACTTGAGACTGGGTAACTTATCGAGAACAGAAAATTATTTTTCATTTCCAGATGCTAGAAGTCCCAGATCAAGGTACTAGAGTTTGGGGAAGGCTGCTCTCTGCTTCCAAGATGGGGCCTGAGTGCTGCATCCTCTGAGGGGAGGAACACCGTCCTCACATGCAGAAGGTGGAAGGGCGGAAAGGACCAAACTCCCTTTCTCAAGCCCTTTGATAAGTGAGCCTAATCCCCTTTGTGAGGGCAGAGCCCTTGTGACTCAGTCACTTCCAAAAGGCCACACCTCCCAACACTATTACCTTGGGAATTCAATTTTTTTTTTAAGAGATGGAGTCTTGCTCTGTTGCTCAGGCTGGAGTGCAGTGGCACAACCTCTGTCTCCTGAGCTCAAGCAATCCTCCCACTTCAGCCTCCTGAGTAGCTGGAATTACAGGCGCATGCCACCATGCCTGGCTAATTGTTTGCATTTTTAGTAGAGATGGGGTTTTACCATGTTGACCAGGCTGGTCTTGAACTCCTGACTTCAAGTGATCCGCCTGCCTCGGCCTCCCAAAATGCTGGGATTATAGGCGTGAGCCACCATCCCTGGCTGGGGATTCAATTTCAATGTCAATTTTGGTGGGGACAAAAACATTCACACCACAGCGGGGGTGGACGTTGGTTACCAGTTTATTGTGACCCTGAAGAATTCTGGTGCATCTCTCCTGCAATCCTGGTTTGAGGACTCTGGGCGACAAAGGATCCTCTGCCTCTCAAAGCTGCTCACCCTGAGAGGAGAGTGGGCAGAGGGGGAAGTGCTGCCTGTGGGGTGTGGTGCATTGCTCTCCTTCTGCAGCTTTTGCCCTGGGAGCACCAGAGCCTGCACCGGTCACCTTTGCAAACATCTTTTACTGAGGCCAAGTGCTGGGATGTGTTCAGCTGGGGAGGTTACACAGCCTTGTCTGGTGGGGAATGATACTTAGCTTTCTCAGGAAAACCCCAGTATTTTTAGGAACAAACAGTTTGTACCCACCCATTTCTGGTTTTGAAAAACCATGGGTCCTCTCCCATCTTGTTCATCTGAAACAGCCTGAGCTTCAGGAGGGGAGGAATGGGCTTGGGCACTGGGTCAGATGATTCCAGTGTTGCCTCTTTTTATGTGACATTGGGCAAGACCTTAACTT